GCAGGGACCCTTCCATTTCACCTCAAGAAAAGAGTACTGATCCCATGCACCCTCCTTCTTTTTCCTGCAGATAGCACGGTCAAGCCAGGCTCTCACCTGCATGGTGAGGCATCTCCCTGCTGCCTGTGAATGGCAGATGGGGAGATGGAAAGCTACTGCCTCCAAGAGAACTCAGGGTGAAGAATGTTGACTCCGTTGCTGGGCCAGAGGCAGACCCACTTGGTGTTTTGCCCTACTTGTCACATGAGTAGTCCCGCAAAAGGGTGACAAATCCTCCCTTGCAGTCAAAGAGTGAAAAGGAACCCCAGAAGTCCCATGCGAATCCCTCAGCAACCTCGCCTGAGCCCATCTTTTGAACGGCTTCCTACACCAACCACAAGCAATAGGCTCTGCTAGAGTAGGACGTGTCTCTCATCAAAGTGGTATGGCCCTCTCACCAAATTCATCCCACCCTGAAGGCCAGGCCTTCTGCTCTGGCCTGGAAGGGGTTCTGCAGGTAACTTGCTCAGAGGGACAGACCTCCACAGGCCTTGCTTCTCTCTCCGGTGACACCTTGCATCCCAGAGGTTCCCAAGGATGACCACGGGCAATACAAATGACATCCAGTATACTTACTTTGGGCATTGAAGATTTTCTTTCGTTCTTGGATACTGCGATTCTCGGTCTCGGGTTCTGGACATTACATTCGTATAAAAAAAAAAAAAAAAGAAACAAAAAGAAAAAGAGGAAACTTAGATAAGACCTTCCCCTAAGGAACTGCAAGAACACATTGGACAGCTTTTGGGGAAGAACGCATCATGCAGCAAGCCCAAGAAAACATGAGGTCCTGTGAACCAAGAGCCTGGCAGCAGTATTGTGGGGTTTTTGATCAATGTATCCCACCACGGAGCCCCACAGATCCCCTCCTGTGCCAAGAAGCTGCCTCAGCTGCCACAGAGTTCAAGTGCAGCACCACGTACGTGGTCTTTCCCAGGGAGGCTGCGCAGCCCTCGCTCTGCCCTTCCCCTTCTGCCACCCCACACAGGGATTCTTCTGCTCCCTCCCATCTCCTCCCAGAACCTCCCATGGCAGCTCTCCTTCCTGCCCTGGACATTGCTGAAGAAGTCAGTTGCATTCTTCAGGCTTGGCTTGGGACTTTGGGTTTTGCCTTTGTGGCAAAAGCAAATGGCACAGCTGTTCAGGGTGGGAAGGAGCTTGGGAGGTGTCCAGTGGAGTCTCCTGCTGCAAGCAGGGTCTGCCCTGAGGTCACGGCAGATGGCTCAGGGCTTCCTCCAAGCGGCTCCTGCATACTTCCAAGGCCGCACTGATCAGCTGGTGTCTCCCAGTCCTGCTGCAGAACAGAAAGCCCACAGCCAGGGGAGAGCTACGCCAGTCTGGACCTCCATTGCAGATGGAAGGAAAATGAGGAGAACTCCAACCCAGCCGGAGGGGGCTTTCTGTCTGTGTGCGTGTGGCGGAGGTGGTTGGTCTTGATTCCAGCTACAGCTTGTACTATGCAGAGGGGAAAATGGAACGTGCAGAACTGTGGGGGCAGGACATGAGCCCATAACAGATTGAAAAGAAGGCTCTGCAGAGGAGGCGTGTAGCCCGGAGATAAGGAGCAGGGCTAACGTAGGCACGAGGAGCCAGCATTGCTGAGACAGGGACTCTGTCACCACCGCTTACCTCTTGCCAGACTCCCGAGGTCTTCTTCCCCTGTGGTCAGCTGTGAGCAGCGTTCCCAGGCTCTCTCACGGGAATCCGCTCTTCTTCCCTGCTGCACGCATTGCTCTTCCCTCTGGGCGGGGCCTGAAAAAAGGAAGCCAGAACACCACGGTAACCTCTTATCCACATAAGCATGAGGATCTCATGCCCAGGTGGTGCACTTCGGTGGAATGGCAAAAGAACCCTCTTCTCTGGGAAAAGGCATGGCCATACGAGAGGGCCCAGGGCATGGTCATCACAAGCCTTCCCCGAGGCAAGAGCATGCCCCTGCATGCAGGCCACCCAAAGGGAGAGCTGCAGGAAAAGACCTTGCCTTACTTCCCAGGGAGGGTGGGATTCAGCACAGTCCAGCCTCTCCCGGGCTGCTCTGGCAAAGCCCGCGACCTGGCCTAGCCTAGCACGCTGTTCCTCTAGGCACCCTCCTTCTGGTCACCCCGTGCACCATGACATCTGCATGGGGATGCTGGCTAGGACAAACCGCTTGCTGGAGGCCTTTGCTAGGGCACTCTGTGGGGTGGTGCACGTGCCAGATACAAGAACAGCCAAAATGCCACCAGGCGCCTCTGCCAAGGGTACCAGTGGCGTGGTCATATGGGCTCTGCTTCTTGAGCTAATTCTTCCTTTCCTTAGGTGTGCATGGTGGTCCTATCCTATGTCTTAGTCAGCCATCATGGCATGATCAACCCAGGGTCTCAGCTGCCTGTGGATGATAGGTGACATGGAAAGCTATTACCTGCAAGAGAGTTTAGGATGAAGAAGATCCGCTACTTCCCTGGGCCAGAGGCAGACCCACTCGGTGTTTCACTCTACTAGTCAGATGATTAGTACCGCAAGAGGGTGAGACACTGCTCCTTCAAAGTCCATGGGTAGCGGGTAACCTCACAAGTTACCTCCTTATCCCTCAGCATCTTCACCTACACCTTCCTCTACCAAGCACAAGCAAAACCCTCTGCTAGAGTAGGTGTATCTCGTCAAAGAGGTAAAGCCCTCTCACCAAATTCATCCCAGCTCAAAAGCCTTGCATTCTGCTGTGGATTGGAACTGGTTCTGCAGGTAACTTGCTCAGAGGGATAGACCTCCAAAGGCCTTGCTTCTCTCTGCGGTGACACATCTCATCCCAGAGGTTCCCAAGGATGACCACAGGCAAGAGGAAAGGCATCCAGCATACTTACTTTGGGCTTCAAATTTTTTCACTAATTCTTGGACACAAGGCAGCATGGTCTCAGGTTCTCGGCGTTAGGTTCATATCACCAAAAAATTAGAAGAGAGAAAGAGGAAACTTAACTAAGACCTCTCCCTTAGGAAGTACAAGAATGCATTGAACAGTTTTTGGGAGGAACACATCCCTTCTTATCCTACCCGATCCTCCCGGGGGTCCTGGGTTTTCAAATGACTCCCTTTCCCTTCCATCCCATTCTAAAGAGAAGAAACTCGGCTCTTACCAGTTTCCCCAGATATCTCCTTGTGCCTTCTGCTTTCCCGTGTCCTTTTCTCAGGGTTCAGTCTGCAATGCAAGGAAAAAAGTGGCCAAAGCTATGCGGTGGGCTCAGGGCTAGAGAACAGAAGGCAGAGGCGGTAGGATGTTCTGATGGACTCCCAGCTGGTCACTGTCCCATCTTGGGTGCAGTGTAGCTATCTGAGAATTCTCACAGCCATGCACATCGTTTTCCTTGGTCAAAATCAGTTGTGCACGCATCTGCAAAGCACTGAAGAAGGTGCTTGACCCCAGCTACTGTTTTCCACAGAGGCAGAGGAATGGGACCACATGCATATTCCTTCAGACTAACTCCAATCCTGGAGGTTACCCTGATCAAGCTATATAGAAAGGATTGTGGTGGGTCGACCTTGGCTGCCTGCCAAATGCCCACCAAGCTGCTCTCTCACAGGGGGAGAAAATAAGACAGAAAAGCCCGTGGGTTGACATAAAGACTGAGAGATCCCTTACCAATTGCCATCATGGGCAAAACAGAGTCCATGTGGGGAAGATTACTTTTTTCATTGCCAATTTAAAACAGAGTAGCATGGTATGAAACAAAGACAAAACTCAAAACACCTTCCCCCCACCCTTCCCTTCTTCCCAGGCTTTCCTTCCCAACTCTTATGCCTTCTCAGCCAAGCAGCATAGGGGACTGGGGAATGGGAGTTGTGGTCAGGCCATAACAAGTTGTCTCTGCTGCTCCTTCCTCCTTACGCTGTTCCCCTGCTCCAGCGTGAGGTGCCTCCCACGGGATACAGTCTTTCAGGAACGCCTCCAACGTGGGTCTGCACAGTGTTTTACCCTTTCTTAAACACATTATCACTGAGGTGCCACCAGCTTCACTGATGGGCTCAGCTTTGGCCAGCAGTGCATCCATTGTGGAGCTGGAAGAACCTGGCCGTGTCTGACATGGGGCAGCCCCTGGTCTCTTCTCACAGGGGCCACCCCTGCAGCACCACTCCCACCAAAAGCTTGACACATAAACCCCATGCAGACATACTGTATGGCAGCCTATACAGTCAAAGCAGAAAGGCATCTGCAGGCAGAGATTCAGAACAGCAAGCTAAGGAGGTGCTCGGAAGCGTGTGCTGACGGAGTCGGCCTTTCTTCCTTTGCGAACACCAGGGACTGTTATCCCAAGGCTACAATGAGCCTTTGTGAAAGCCATCTTAGAGCTCTGCAGGGATGAGTTTCCAGGCTAGAAGAGCTGGCTGTGGAAGACATTGTTTCACCAGCCCTTCCCACAAAGCAGCCTTCCGCTTCTGACAAGATCCATCAGGGAAAGCAAAAAAAAACCCCTCCTTTTTCCTATTTTCCCAGAGTCAGAAAGAGAAGAAAGAATATAAGTAACACAAAGCACCCAGCATTTTGAGTTTGTTTTTTTTTTCCCTAAAAGCAAAGCCATGGTGATGCATTCTTCAAGAGTAATGCTGAGTACACACAAAAATGCAATAATGTACCTTGAGAGAAATCACTTCTCAGTGCTGTCTTTTCTGAGCCAAACTGGCTTTCACTGGTAGGGCAATGGTACACTTACGGGCAGCCTTCAGTGTCTTTGGACTTTAGGCAGTTCCAGGAAAGAGAGCTCCTAAAAAACTGTTAGGACTTTGACACTCGGCCTTGCACTGACTGGCAGAAGAATCCTTAGCAGCCTGGGAAAGTCCTGTTCCAAGCACGGTTCTTATCTGGGGATGAGATTTAGTGTTGTGGCCCTCTTTAAGGAATTCAGTTCTTATCTGGGGATGAGTTTTAGTTTTGTGGCCCTCTTTAAGGAATGGCTGCAGGTAACCTGAGGAAGAAAGGCTGAAGGACATACGTGATGCACACATGGAGCTATCATGAATATGCTTCTGCTATTGATAGCGTATGAACGGCTCATACACAATGCAGTTTAGGTCACTAAGTGAAAGGCGGCTGTGCTTCCAGGAATGGGTAACCCCACTTTTCACAGTTGGAGAGAAATTACTTTCTCGGAATGTTCTCTCTTGCTTTCTCTCTTTCATGTATTTAGAAGGAGCCCTGATAACTGGTTTAAACAAAATGCTTACTTTATTCAGGGCTATATATGCAATTCGAAGCCAAAGGGGTGGGGTGGGGCAGGGCGGGACAAGAAGAGAAGGGAAGGGGAGGGGCAGGGCAGGAAGGGGCAGGAAGAGAAGAGAAGAGAAGAGAAGAGAAGAGAAGAGAAGAGAAGAGAAGAGAAGAGAAGCAACAAAGTGAAAGGAAAAAAGACAGGCAGAAGGAAACCTCTTTATTTTGCATTGTTAGTGATGCCTCTGTTGGCCAGAGTTGAGTATCGTACCTTCTGTTGCTAAACTATTGAAACCAGAAAAGTAGTTTATAACTGATATCATGATTTCATGGCTTTTATTTCTTCATGGACTTCTGATGGGAATCCTATGAAATATTAACTTTGCAGCCTCACACCAACCCTTCTTTGCCCTTTGCCCTGGCACCCTGCAGCGTAGTAGGACCTTGACAAGGGGTTGGCAAAGCCCACTGAAGGCTCTGGGGCACTCTGGAGTTGCAGCAGAGCCCCTCTAGGACATCAACAAAGACTGGCGAAGGCCCTGGGGCAGTCTGGAGGGCAGCACAGACCTGCCTGGATGTCCGCTAAACCAGTGAAGGTCCTAGGGCACTCCAAAGGGCAGTAGTGTCCTGCCATTGAAAGGTTTTGCTGATGCTTGCAGGGGACCATGCTGCTGTCTAGAGATCCCTAGTGCCTTTGCTGGGCTCTGCTGACACCTGGGTGCAGCCCTGATGTCCTCCAGATTGTCCTGGGGCCATCGCTAAGCTTGGCAGATGTCTGTACAAGGCCCTACTGCCCTCCAGATTGTCCTGGGGCCCTTAATGGGCTTTGCCAGAACCTGGGCTAGACCCTGCTGCGTTCCAGAGAGCCCCAGTTTCTTTGATGGGCTTTGCCAACTCTTTCAGTGGGCCCTGTTTCTCTCCTGAGTGCCCCAGGGCTTTTTCCAAGTTTGCCGATGCCTGGGCATGGCCTTACTGCCCTCCAGGGAGCCTCAGTACCTTCACTGGGCTTTGCTGAAAGAGTAGAGAGAGTAGAATAGAGTAGTTCCAGTTGGAAGGGACGTACAACGATGATCATCTAGTCCAACTGCCTGGCTACTACAGCACAGACCAAAAGTTACCGCATGTTATTAAGGACATTGTCCAAATGCCTCTTAAATACTGGCAGGCATGGGGCATCGACCACCTCTCCAGGAAGCCTGTTCCAGGGTTTGAACAACCTCTTGGTAAAGAAATGCTTCCTAATATCTCATCTGAACCTCCTCTGATGCTGCTTTGAACCATTCCCACGTGTCCTGTCACTGGATACCAGGCAGAAGAGACCAGCACCTCCCTCTCCACTTCCCCTCCTCAGGAAGCTGCAGAGAGGTCACCCCTCAGCCTCCTCTTCTCCAAACTAGACAAGCCCAAAGTCCTTAGCCACTCCTCAGAGGACTTTCCTTCCAGCCCCTTCACCAGCTTTGTTGCCCTCCTCTGGACACATTTGACTACCTTAACACCCTTCTTAATTGGTGGGACCCAGAACTGCACACAAGGTGACTCCACACCAATGCTAAATACAGCAGGACAATCCCCTCTCTTGACCGGCTGGTTATACTGTGTTTGATGCACCCCAGAATGAGGTTTGCCCTCTTGGCTGCCAGGGCACACTGCTGACTCATACTGAGCTTACCATCAACCAGCACCCCCAGGTCCCATTCTGCAGGGCTGCTCTCCAGCCACTCCTCTCCCAATCTATACTAGTGTCCAGCATTATTCCATCCCAGGTGCAGAATTTGGCATTTGTTCTTGTTAAATTGAATGCCATTGATGATTTCTCAATGCTCCAATCTACTCAGATCCCTCTGCAAGGCCTCTTGTTCCTCGAGACAGTCAACAGCACCTCCCAGTTTAGTATCAACAGCAAACTTGCTAAGGGTGCATTCAATTCCTTCATCCAAATCACTGATAAAACTATGGAAGAGAACTGGCCCCAGAATTGAGGCCTCAGGAACACTGCTAGTGACTAGCCACCACCCAGATGTAGCCCAATTCCCTACAATACTTTGAGCCCTGCCGTTCAGCCAGTTCTTCACACAGCACATCTTCAAAGTCATACTGGAAAAGCACAGCCAGCTCCATACATCCAAGACAACAGAGAAAGCATTGGTGAAACAAAAATTGAACCCAGCTGGCCAGATGATACCTCATTTTTTCCTCCCAGGAGACCATTCTCCATCACTTTTCTTTTCCTCTCCGAGCCCTACCGGGAGCAGCCATGCTGCTCATGCCCCCAGTTCCTTGCTGCCTGCATCCGAGGAGAGGTAGGGGTAAAGATGAGCCTGCTGGCCCCTGTATGCACAGCTCAGATGAAGGAAACGGAGAGGTTCCCTTCCACCCTGACAGCAGCACTGCATTCACAGCTTGTTCAGAAGCGAAAGAATTAAAAGAGACATGCTTACCTGCCTTAATGAACGAAGGTGAACAGTGATACGGGACAGCTACTTTTTTCCTCCTTGCCAGAGGAACTTAACTTCCACCTGCAGAAGGGAAGGAAAATGAAAAGAAGAACCAGGTACTCAAGTTCAGCACTTCTCTGCCCAAAAGTTGTCACTTCTCTGCCTGAAGGTCACGTCTAGTCTTCCCTATGAAGGATATATTTTTGTGTTGAAGGCGATTAGGTGCAAATGGAGCTTCAGTGTTACGGAGAGGCTGAAGACAACGACATGACATGCTGAATGACCACTGCTTAGCACCAGAAGTGAACCTTATTTCAGAATTAAAGCTGCATTTTACCTTTTGTCAGGTAAGAAAGGTCTCCACATCTTCAATCTGTGGATCAAAGATGAACTTTGATCAGTTCATCAAGGGATTACCTTTTAACAGGGAAAGTGAAATGAAGAATGAAATATTAAAGATTAACTCGGGGTGCGGCTCTGCCTGAAGATCACTTCTGAACAAGCTGTGAATGCAGTGCTGCTGTCAGGGTGGAAGGGAACCACTAGCACCCCAAGGGTTAGTTGCATCTGCAGAAATGCTAATAAGTTTAAAATTTCCTGAGTAGTACCTTGAATGATTGAGGTTGTCAACTTATATGCAGCAAACATCAGGTCATCGTGACATCATCTTTTTTTTACCCATAAAATCATTCATATTATAATTCTAGCACATTTAATGATCTTCGTGGATTTCATATGTGTTGCAGTGTCAGTGTTAACCCAACTCCATTTTCTGCCGTTCTAGTGTAACAATGATTATTGATCTGAGTTCAAATATGTCACGGTGTGTCTTTTGAGCAGTGCTGAACATGAAGCCCAAAGGGGCTAAAAAACTCTGCTGTTTTTCTTTTTTTTTTTTGTAACGGCATATTTTCACATGTCTTCTTTTGAAAAGCATTCAACTTATTTGGGAACGTGGGTTTGGTCTCTGAAGTAGTAAATGATGACTTGTTGGACAGCGAGGTTTCTTTTGGGCCCTCCTTGGATGACAGGAAAATTTTTTAAAAGTTAGACTTAAGAAAAATATGACGTTTGTCCGCAGAAGTATCAGTGTCATTAAACAAGGTGTCTAAGGTCTCAACATGTTCTGGCTGGAACTCATCTGACCAGATGTTCCCGTCTGTATCTGATCCTACTTTCTGATCTCTGATGTATCCAGCCTCATCAGTGCAAGTCATCTCAGCCTTGGGTAGAAGCTGAAAGTAGGTTGGAGGGATGGGGCTGCCCTGAATTTCAAATGGGCCTATAAGATTTAATGGACAGTGAACACATCTAGGAGATGTCTAAGCATAGGTGTCTCATGACATTTTGCATTTCTAAGCCTCCAGCTGCTGATCCAGATGGGAACAGCTTTCTACAAGTCCTGTGTCATATCTGCCTTGCCCTTCCCACAAAGACCCGTTTTAGTATCCCAAACCAAATAATATCTGAAACAGCCCTCTTTTTAAGCAACTGAGGAGCAACTCCCTCATCTCTAAGCAAGATTAATCCCTTTCTCATATTAGATCTCCAAATTAATGTTTCCAACAAAATTTCATGTGGCCTCATGTGATAATTGCCTGCAAAGCACCAACTTAAAGCATGCCCAAACCCATGGAAACCCCTGGAGAGTAGAAAGAGCAGAATTTAGCATGACAGTTTATAAAATGTAGCGCCAGTTGCAATGTTGTATTCAAAGCCCTGACCTGCCTGTGTAGTTTAGGGCGATGTGGGTGATGCAGTCAGTGGAGCTAAGGCTGTGGTCATCTCACCTGTGGCTTCTTGGATGATGTGAGACCCAGCAGTGCCTGCTTACCTCCATGTACCATAAATAGAGCTAAGAGCAACCAGCTCAGAGGAAAAAGCCTGCGCTATGGGTATCAAAGATGAGTGGAGATGAATCCCAACCGTAGCTGTCTATGGCTAGTTGGATGAAATGCCTCTGGGAGTCCCTGTCTCTCTTTAGCAAGTGAAGAGGGAGAATTTATGATTAAAGCCAGGTGAATTGAATCCTTCCCCTGTCACTCCACTTGTTCTTACCCAGTTGGTCAAACAGGGCAGCTGTCTTCCCAGCACAAGAATGAATCCAGAATAAGGTAGACTGATCGTCTGGCTTGCCGCACCATCGTGCCTGTTCTAACAGCATCCGATTTAGTCACATCAGATGTAGCTGTGAGACCTGTAGGCCATGTTCTCTGGGATGTGGGGATGTATCCAGACACTGCAGTGCAGGGTGATTAACTTCTGCTTGGAAGTCATCAGATTGCCCTACCTTCCTCGCTGCTTGTTAAACATGGAATATTGAACACTAATGAAGTAACAAAGATAACACACCGAAAGTATTCCTATGGGGACTGAGATAAGGACAGTCAACCACTTACTGGAAATGTCAAAGTCCACAAAGAAGGACAGAGATAGAGAAGGGCAAGTTTTTTAGCATAGTGCAGCAAAGCCGACCCTCGTGCAGCTCCCTAAATTTTATCAGGTTTGTGTCAGAGCTGATGCACACTGTCACTCCGCAGTCTGATGGTTCTCAGGGAGCGGTATCTTCAGAACAGCAAAACAGGAGAGTTTCCCCGTCCTCCAAAGCTAAGCTAAGGGTAAACAGAGTTTCTTCCTCCTTTCTCTCCCATCTCAGAGCACGGACAAAGAGAGTCATGCAACCCAGACCAGAGATTTAAGCTGGTGTGTTAATTAAGATGTCCCTCAAATTTTACAGCGAGCAGTGGGGGCTGAGTTGAATTTTTCACTCTTGCATACCCCGTCACAGCTTCCTGGGAGCTGTGAGGAATTCCCAGAAGCTGCAAGGTTAATTGAGATCTCTGGAAAGGCACAAGTTTTCTTGATGTCTAAACTCAACTGCTTGAGCGCTTTGCACCTTCAGAAGGCGCATCCAATGGCAAGTGCCATTTGAGAAATATCAGATGGATATCCCTTTGCATACTTCCCTTCTGTGCCTGTTTCAGGTCAGCTACATGATTGTCCCACGTGTGCGGCTGCAGATATGGAACAGAGGAGATGTCTCTTGTTCGCTGTGGCACTGCTTACAGCCATCCCTCTCACAGGTAACGCTTTCATATGGTATTCTGCTCATTTCTGAGGGATTAAAGTCTGCAGATGATAAGAAGTGCTCAATCTGAGGGTCACGGTCTCCCGAGAAGACCTCATTTTAACTCCAAAAGAGCCAGAGCTGCCCTGCCACTCTGCTGTTGCGGAATCCACCCCTTTCCAGCCTGAGTTTCTATCCCTTGGTGGAGATGAGGAAGCCCTAAGCCAACGCAGCTCTGCCACATCTGCCCCTGCCACAGCACCAATACCATTCCCCTGCCTGCATGGGCAGTTTGCACTGGCACAGCTGCCCAGCTGCTGGTGACACAGAGTTGAAAAGCATCAAGGCAGGCTGGGAAGCTGGATGAAATGTCTCTGTACGTTCTTTTAAGCTTTTTTTTGCCTTTTCCCCAAAATGATCCTATCCTATACAACTTCTATCAGCCTAGTTTCTCCCTCTCTTCTATCACTTTGGCCTTTCCAGTTTCCCCAGTTCCCATTTTGCCACAGAGAAAAGAAAAAAGGGAGAAAGTGAGTGAGTGAATGCTCCAAACCAAAATTAATTTCTCTTTTATAAAACCTAAAGAACCATTTTAGCCACTTTCATCAAATCATTAATTATGCTTTCTTATTTTTTTTCCAAACTAATAATATCCACAAAAGATCTCCTGGGATTTTTTTTTTTCACTGTTTGGCATCTTTCTGTTGTGATCTACTGTCTCATGGCCTGAAGGTGCATGAACAGAAGGGATCAACATTATTAGTGAATATTTACAACTTTCAATTGTTCCCCATCCCCTGGGACAGGGATAAATGTTTGTCCCAGTCCTCTGTGTCCTTCACACTAATACATTTTCTGGTTGATTTCAGCCAAATGTTCACTCAAGTTTGGTTTCTACAGAAAATTTTGAGGTCACCTCTCCCTGGAATGTAGTGGGGATTGTCGGCCAGGACACAATCCTTCCTTGCCACGTTTCTTCTACAAAGCCACTGGACGATATTGAAGTGCGATGGAAGAAAATCACAGATGGGCATATAGAGGATATCCACATATACAGGCAGTCTGGTGGCAAACCAGCACAGAAATACCTTGGGCGGACATCGTTGCTAACAGATGGATTTGCCACTGGGAATGTGTCCCTAACATTGAAGAACGTCCAGCCAGCAGATGAAGGAACATACAGCTGCTTTGTGAAGTCCAGGGACTGGAGTGCTGATACAACCACTGTGCTCAGCATTGCAGGTTGGAGATTTCATGGGCTAGGTGGTGAAGGGGGGAAGTTTTTACAGAGGGAAAAAAGCTATCTGAAAGTGCACTGGCCCCCAGCTGATGCCCCCCTCGCATGACCCAACACGTCACCTCTCCACTCACATCAGCCAGTGGGCCACATGGCACCTGCCTTTTGATCCGATGTGATATTTTAATTTTAAGTCACTGAGAGGTCTGTAAGGAGCCAAGAAAAGTCCAACCCATGTACCACCCCCCAGGAGAGAACCTGGGTAACTGGTGATCTGACCAGCCCCATGAGGGTCATGGGAGCCCTTGTAGTTTTAGGCAAGGAAGGAGCTTTAAACCTGAATCTTCTGGGAGAGACAGGGCCTGGATTTCAGCATGCATGTTCAAAGGCAGTTGCACTGTACGGTGAAACGGAACGTGCTTGCTAAAGCTGCCACGAGACTGGGGTGAGTTCCTATGCCGAAAGATGGTCTGCAGGCTTCATCCCTAGCCTGAGCCCTCTTATGACACGTGTGGGGCTGGCTAGCTGCCATAATCACTGCTGGGTAGGTGTAAGAGCACCTGCTAGACAGACAAGTACTCAGGATCCCTGACTGTGGTACTGATGTGAATGGTTGCCCTGCCTTCACGCTTGTGGCTTCTCAGCTGGGCTGAGGAGATGTTCTGGGCTGCCAGTTCACCTCCCAGCTGGAGAGTAGGCCTCATGTGTGTACAGGTGTCTATAATGTCAGGTGGAGCTGGTCAGCCTGGATTCACTGATGGAAAACAGCATCCCCTCATCCAAAGACAATTAGAGAAGCTTTGGGGATAGGAGAGAGAAAAAGCTGCCAGCTGGTGCCCATTTCCTACTATTGACCAGGAAAAATTCCTCTGAAAACCAGCTCAGGCTCAGGAGTCTGACTTAGGCATGTGTGTAGTGCATCCCACCTTGCCACACTGGAGCATCTTTGGTGCGGTCCCTCTGCGGTGACCGTCTACACCCACCTTTAGTGCTAGCATGAACTAGGGAGGTGCCAGGGAAAAAGCTGAGCGTGTTTTATTGTGCTCTTTTCTGCTTTCCAACTCCTCAAACTCGGACGAGGCTCCTACAAATTCATACTAAAAAAGGCATACAAAGCCACACATCTTCTCTCTGCCTGCTCCAAGAAATAGTGGGGAGCTGAAAGGCAAACCCATCCCACAGCGTGGCTTTTTCTCAGCCAAAGAAGAGTTGGCATATATGGCAGCTAGAGCCTGGGATCTCAGAAAGACCATTTGAAGGACTGGATTAAGGATTGAGAGAAACTGGCAGGAAATTGGACCAAACTCTGGATTAAGCGAGAGCTGTGAATGCAGGGTGGAGCTGCTTTCATGGAAACACATTTCTCCCCCTAACAAACCCTCTTGCCTTTAAGGTACCAGTGAAGTATTCTTTGAAATACTGGGCCCGCAAGGGCAAGGGCTCGAGCTCGCCTGCAGATCACATGGATGGTTCCCCAGACCTACTGTCCAGTGGGGTACTCAGAATAAGCAGAGGCTGTCTCCGGACACTGCAATACACCAGGACAGCAAGCAACTCTTCAGTGTGCTGAGTCGAGTCACAGTTACAGGAGAGGAAGTGGGAGAAGTCACCTGTCAAATCCTGAACCCCCTGGTGCAGACTGAGAAGAAAACTACTGTGCGCCTCTCACGTGAGTCGCATCGTCCCGAGAAGTCTTTGCTGTAGACTCGTTGTCCTGGAGGCCCTGTAAAGCCCTTTCCAGTGACAGGGAAGACAATAGCTCTCCAGTCCAGCTAGACGGATCCCAGACCACCATGTGTAGCTGCAGGCAGGACAGGTTGCAGTGAGAAATGAGAAGGGCCCTTCCTGCCCTAGGTGCTGCACACATCCCTAGAGAAGGCAGGCTCTGCTCGACAGTGTAGGGCTGTGACTATTTCTCCATTCATCTCTACGGAAACTCTTTGGGTGGGTGCTCAGATTTGGGGGAAAGGTTGCATATTGCCAGATGACACTCAGATATTTTCTTTTCAAAGGTGCTGTTTTTCCACGTGCATCTCCATGGGTCCCTGCCTTCTGGATACTATTCACTTTATTTCTTCTCACATTGGCTGCTGGTGCTTTTCTGGTATTTAGAGGTAAGGGGACTTCGTTTTCTGCTGCACTGAAACCTACCTGTGAAGGAGAAAGAGTCAATGAACAAGACAAAAGAGCTCAGACCTCTTCCACACCATGCTAGGCAGCTGTGGGGGTGGACATACCCACACCGGGTGGGGAGATATGACACAAGAGCTGCAGGGAGTCTGCACTCAGCTGTCAATGTGGTCACAGTCCCATCACCATGCATTGTGACTTCTGTCTCAGATGCCCTGACCCAATCCCATCACCCTAGAGGGTTCAGACCAGTCAGGGTTCAAGCTGGGGAATGGAGATAGCTGCCGTAACATGAATGGCAAGATTCAAGGAGGTTATGTCCAATATTCCTTACACCACTCAGTAACTAAGCTGTTGATACAATACGAGGAACGATAGAGTGGCAAAACTTGGCCAAAGAGCTCATCTTTTTCATACAATGAAACATGGTTGGGCTAAATACAAGTTCTTCCTACCTTCTGCCCCATCCCAGCATGAGGTGTTCACACCCTCCCCTTGACCACCCAACTTGCTATGGCATGCCCCCCCTGAATTCACATGCTTTTTCCCATCCAATCCACATATGGCATCAGTATCCCCTTCCTGCTATTTCCTTTGTGCTTCAGTACTTATTTCATTTGGTTCTTTGAACATTACAGCAAAACAGAGGTCTTCTAGGAAAAAATCCCATGAAGAAGAGATTTTACAGGAGCACGGTAAGGCAGATCTCGTTCTCTGAGTACCCACTTTGACGCCCACTCACAGGCACCTTCCCTCCTTCAGCTGGAGAGAGCTTTCCTTGCATCCACAGAGCAAAGCTAAGACACCCATCCTCTTATCTCAGCTGAAGAGTTTATGAAGATGTGCAAAAAGACACGGTCTTAAGAGCCCCTTTGGCTCACTAGCCTCCAGCAAAGGAAGATGCCAGTTCCTTCCCCTGGAGACTTCCTTGTGAAGTGGCTTCAAATCCCCTCTGCTCTCATCCCTTCATCTATCACAAGCGGCAGGAGCATGGCCCTCTGGAGAGCTCAGTGCCCTTTTCCCAGCAACCCAACTGTCCGGGGAAGGATGTATTAGTTCACCACATCCAAAATCACAGAGGAAACCCACCACCTCTTTGCACTAGTGTGGGACAGAAGAGAGAGGGCGAGTGTCAGGTGAGGACTTAAGAACAACCCTATCAGTCTCCAGGACCAAAGGACTGAGCAACCTGAAGGCAGATCTCAGTCAGGGCCATGGCCACCTATCTCCCACCAGCTGCGATCCTCCAGAGGGTTCTTGGGGTGCGTTGTGGATGCCAAGCCATTACTCCCTGGTTAACTCTTGTGTTTTTTCCCTTGCTGTACAGGAGTTGAGAAAAACACTCAGGATGCAGGTACAGTAAAATGAATCTTTCCACACTGAGAAAGTCCCACTTGGGTTTTCCCAAGCACGTGTAGCCATCATCATGTAACCTTCCGCCCACCCCAGGCATCTCCTCTTCATCACTCTTGCCCTCCGCCAAGGTGCCCTCTCCTTTCCCATCCTCTTTTTCATTCACATAACCAGGTCACAATAGGGAAATTGCATACAAGGTGTCTGCAGACCGACATCCACACCTGCAGCATCAACAACACTCACCTCACATAAACGGAGAGGGCACGGGCTTATCTGGCTCCCCCAGGGCACCAGCCTCAGGAGGGAAATCACCCCGCAGTCCCTTCAAGCCCTGACACACTACCGTGCAGATCTGATGCAGGGACATCTGACATTCCTTCTTCAGATCCTCATCAGGGAAAGCAAAGATGTTTTTCTCCTCTTTCTGTTGCAGATCGTGGTGATCTGAAGATTCGATGTGGTAAGAGACCATTTACAGTGGAAAATGGAAAGGGTGTTGGCATTGTGGAAAACAGACAGACCTGCACTGCCCTTGGAAAGGCAGAGGTGCAAGCTGTCTGTGTCCTGATGCTGTATCCAGGAGTTAGTGATAGATGGTGACCAGCTATCCTGCTCTGTGGTCATGATCCTTCTCCCTGGGCATCTGTCTCTATCCAGCAGTGGTAGAGCCCTCTCACTCTCCAAGCAGCAGCCCATAACACCCCCTGTTTCTGTTTCAGATGCACTGACCAGAGAGCTAGGTAAGTCAAGGCATCTTCCTTTCCTCTGCCTCTTTGTAGGCAAGTCTGTGGTTGGGAGCAGCATCTTCCCTTGACCGCAGAGTCCTAGCAAAGCACAGTCCAGACATGACCTTCTGCCCCATCCCCATGGGGAATTTGGGTGAGCTCCTGCTGGAGGAGAGATCAGTGACTCCAGATGGGCATGAACTGTGACCCAGCTTCTCCCATAGCAAAGTGAGTACTGCAGGGTCAGAGAGCTTGTCTCTAAGCTTCCTGATTTCCCCGTGGTGCAGCTGGGGGCATGTGATGCACATCCTGGAGGCTAGAGCACCACGTACATGTGGCAAGGCTGTGCTCAGCTCTGACTGTCACCAAGGAGCTCCCCTTTTGTCCCACACCACAGTCCTCCCTACATGGTGGGCCTCAGCCATGCTGTGTCCACACAGCAGGATACTGCTCCAGACCCAGCTGATGCCAGGACAAGGTTTTCTCAAATGCTTGAGGGATACCATCCCTCAGGCGCAGGGGGGCACTGCGCCAGCAATGTGGAAGGGGCATGGACTCAGCATGGGTGTTTTGGCCTTTGAACACAGCGTATTTGCTTTTGATTTGGGTTTTCTTTTTTAACAGACTTCAGAAGAGCTCGAAGCCACATGGGTAAGTTTGTGGAGGTGGAATCAGAGAGGAGGCCTGGAAGCTGGGGAAAGGTATCGGTAGTGGGAGCAAGTCTCCTTTGTTCCTTCTGGAGCAAGCTGGCCAAAACAGTGCTCTCTGCTGAGCAGTGGCATATGGACGTGGGCTGGATGCTCCCTTGGGTCTAGCTGCTCCCATGGCCCAGGTCTCACAGTGCAGAACCTACAGACCTGGGAGCAGCACGCTTGGGAATGAAGCTGCCCTTCCTTGACTGCAAGGAAGGTGCCATCACCCTTGGGCTAGAAGCCATGCTTAGACTCCAGGCTGACCTGGGAGCAGGAGCATTCCTTCCAGTGCTTTCTCTAAGAGGCACCTCATCCCTCTTCTCTTGAGGGTCTCTGCTCCTGGCCTTCTCACACGGTTGTCACTAATGGCTCTTTCTCTCTCTCCCCGGTGGCCATCACCCTGGATGAAGCATGGAAACACTCTGAGCTTGCCGTGTCCTCTGACCGAAGAACAGTCAAGCACAAGCCCTCCACCCAGACACCTATCATTGAGCGCCAGCTGCCCATTGTGGTGGGGAGGGAGGGCTTTGCCTCTGGGCACCATTACTGGGAGGTGCAGGTGTGGAATGGGCTGGACTGGGAGCTGGGGGTGCTGACAGAGACTGTGAGGGGGAGACTGAAAGAGAGGAGCTGGGAGGAACTCCCTGAGGATGGGGTCTGGTCGCTGAGAAGGGTGAACGGGGAGTACTGGCCTGAGGAGGTCAACACTGTGATGCAGAGTCAAACTGTCCAACTACCAGTGGTTGGGCTGGACTTGGACTTAGAGCAGAGCACGCTCTCCTTCTACAACACTGGGGCTTCAGACCGCATCCTGGAAAACTCCATCAAAGCGTCAACAAAGCTGTACCCATTCCTCAGGCCAGGCCTTGGTGAGGCAGGAGAGATGGGCAAACCCCTCACCATCAACCACAACGCAGACTGGGACTTCCCCCAAACAGTCTTGCCATAAACAATACAGGAAAAACTGACTTGAGCTGTAGTAAATCTCACGGACTCCGTGGAGAGGGAGAAGGGAGAGAGCAGCAGAGCAGCAGAGCTGGGCAGCGGCAGCCCTGCTTGGCCCCATCCAGCCTCTGACAGTGAGAGTCAGACAAGTCTGGACTGGGCCACTCACCAAGACCGAGAAGCATACCTGTGCACGACATTTGCAATGCCACATGCTCCATCCCCTTCCCAGGGGAGCCACCACGAGCTATCAGCCTGGAACAAGGAGATGTACCCACAACTTCTGCAGCTACCATTTTCTTGGTTTCACCACTCCCGTGTGTCTGTACTCCATGTTTCTCTTCATGAAATTGACAATTAAATAGGAAGCAATACTGAGTGCTCGGATGTTGTGCTGAGTGTTGCCTTCTAAATGCTGATGAAGGGGGATCCAAATCCTTTCCTGCTTAGATTGCCTTAGATCAAAGTTTCTCTGAAAGGTGATTGCAGGTGTTTGGGGCTCCCCGTGTCCTTTACATGCATTTAGGTGGTTCTTTTTGACATACGAGCCAGTCTTACTAGAGAGCCCTGATCCTCAAGAATGTCCTGCTTGCTTTTTCCTGTGAGGTTCTTCCCTTGAAGTGCCTGTTTATCTTCAGCACAAAATAAGATGTTGCTATTTCTCTGCAGCACAAATGCAAGTGCACTTCTCCATATCAGGAGCCAACCCCAGTTCTGCCAAGCACAATGTAGACGCAAGTGCAAATGCTGACAATAAAGCCACCGTGGAGCAGTCTCCTAGGGAGATGATTTGGATGTTCAGTGTCCCAGGGCACTGAAGTGTCCTTGCCACCCTCCTGTGCAACGTGGCAGGTCTGGAGAAACATGGGAAGGACTGACAGAGCCCTGGGTTGTTCTAGCTGTAATCACTTTGGGGGCCATACAGCCATTAGGTCAAACCAGGGTGCCACTTTGTGGGAGATTTGAGAGGGCTGGTGGACCTCTCTGGCTGCTCAGGCCATGAATGAACGTCCTGCTCTGTTTTCACAGGTTATTCGGCAAGTGTCCTCAGGGAGGAAGTTATATGGCTGTGCAGTTTAACCACACCTATATGAGCTTGTGTTATTAGAAGAGTTGTGGTTTGCATGGCTTATTTTCTTGTCCGTGTAGCTTCTCCAAATCGTGAGATCAGATTAGGCTCACTCAGGGGGAAGGGCTGAACATCACAGGGGTGCCAAACAGCTCTGGTCATAGCCCAGCTGTAATAATTTTTGTGTTTCAAGTGAAAAGTTATTCTGTTGCAACTAGCAACGACCAGTCTTTCCTCTGTCCCCAGTGCACAGCTGATGTGGGGAACGTCATAGGAGGGGAAAACAAACAAACAAACAAAAAAATCTGAATAAATGTGGTTTAACCTAAAACTGAAAATGTTAAGATGTTTTAATCCTAATCCTATTATTATCTTTTTCAGTGGTATTGAGCTCAAGATAAGGACACCAAGGGCTTGACTCAGCTGCTCACACACAAACCTCTAGTGACATTAGCAAAGCCCCAGGCTGCCACTCCATGCACCCCCAGAAGGGAACAGGTCTCCTCCACATGAGATCTGCCCCACCCACGTGTTTGCAATCATTGGAGTTTAAGATGCTTTTCAGGTTCTTTAGCCAGGACATTTCTACTTTAAGATGCTAAATTGTCCTGCAAGCATTTTGGAGCACAAACTATAGGCCAGGTGAGTTGCCCCAAGGCACATTTAGAGAACCAAGTCCTGGGAAACTTCCCTTAGGATGAGCATGTTCCAATGAAATTACACTTTTCTTCCATGCTGGGAAGATTTCAAGGACGCTGAGAGATTCAGCAGCAAATTGAGGCATAGGGTTTGCATGCTGACAGGAATTTCTTGCTATGATGACTTTGCTAAATGTGTGAGCCAAAGCTCCTCAGGTCAAAGCAGAGCCATGTCCAGTTGGCTCATCACTTCCACCCTCGTCTTTCTGAGATGAGAACAGACCTAGCTCCTAGGGATGATGGGGATTTGCTGATGTCTTCCAGCATCTCGAACTGACTGATCCATACCCAAAACTTTATTTTTGGCATATGTAGCTGCATTTGGTTTGCATGGTCCTGGGCAACCGGCTCCAATTGGCCCTACTTGAGCAGTGGGGTTGGATCAGGTGACCTCCAGAGGTACCTCCGCCTTGAACTAGCCCGTGATACAGTCCTCCACTGCAGCAACTGCCTTGGAGGGGAGGGGGGCAGGGAGGATAAACATGTTGCATATGTTTCCGCTCTTCTTCACTGTGTTTGTGCAAGCTGGGGGCGGGGCGGGGGGGAGGAAAACCACAGAAATGAGGATGTGCTCTGCTCAGCAGCTTGCAAGCAGTGCTTCCTGAGCTTGCTTGTCTCCGGTTTTGCTTTGAGCAAAACACTCCTCATAGAGCCCTGTCAAGTTAGGGTTGGGGTTTTTTTTTAATCGTGTGGTACACAATCAACAAACCCACAGAATGGAAAGATACGGTCAAGAGGCGAAGGTGTGACTTTTCTTCTGCCTCTGTCCATGGCAGCAACTGCAGGGTTTCACTGGCTAACTGGTTCCCAGTGTCCTGTGCCTGCTCGATTGGCCTCATAAAATTTTTCCTTTGATGCAGCCAGAACCTCTCCTGCTTCCATTCTGAAATCTTGAGATTTCCTCCTAAAAAACAGTTTCTAAAAATTATTTTTCGGTCAATGTCAGAGAAAATGACTGAGTCACTCAGATGTTAGGGATGGGTTTACATTATCATTACAAAACCCCATCATGACAATGATTACTGAGGGCATCTTAGTTTGTAAAGAGACTTCAGTCATTGTGAAAGTTTAAAAGTTCCCCTATCTTTCAGTTAGTGCAATGAAATTTTAAAGAATTCCATTGATAGTGACCACTTACAATTGCTTCCTCTTTAGGTTTTTGCATTGTTTTCCACCTCATTAATTGTCAGCATCTATTTCATTTACACCGTTTTTTCATGCTGGTGCAGTCATAAGGAAAAGACTGTATTTCTGAAAATACAGTCTAAAAATCCTCTGTGGCAAGGATCCCCAAGGCACGCAGCTCCATTTGGTACGAACTTCACTCAGCCTTGCTCTCTTTGTCAGTCCTCATGCTTGGTTTGCTAGGAATCAGAGGAGAACAGCGGAAGGTCTCGCTGGAAGTTGTTGAACGAGTGGGCATGAGTATGTGAAAGGGAAATCCTCCAAGAAATCAGCTTTCAGGTAATACCTCAACACTCTTCCTTGCCATCTTCTTTCTCAGAGCAGAGCTTCCTGGCCATGGTGACCAACGAAGGTTGCTCTCCTCCTCTCCTCTGGCCCAGTCACTCACACTCAGTATATGATGTCCTCAGCTAAGAAAGCAGCAGATCCTCTAGTGTTACAGGTGACTCATGTACAAGTCTGCTCCTCCTTTCTGAAAGCCTCACATCTCACAGCTCCCCCAATAAGCCAGAAGAAGAAGGGTAAGTGGACCAGTGATTCCTTCCAGTTCCCCAAGATGAATTTCATCCCAACCCCAAGTGCTTTGCAGAGCAGAAGGCTCCCCTGTTTGATACAGCAGGCACTCATTACTGCCTGTAGTGGACATCCACTCTCTCTGCATTATAAATACAAAGCTGAAAAATCTTGTGCAGTTTGTCTTGGCCGAGATCTTCTCACTCCCTCTTCCTTGCTTTAGAGCTTTTCCTGCTGCAAGCACAATGTTTGCTGCAGAAAAGTGCATGTCTCCTGTAAGCCATGTGTCATGCCTATCAGGCCTAGGCAGATCTCTTGGATGCCCACAGACAACCCAAGTGCCGCTAGAAACCTCACTGTACAGCCCTGGATCTTTTAGGGTAGGATTCACATGGCTGCCTACATTGAAGCCAGGTTTTTAAACTCCAGTTTAGTCAGAGATCTAGTACGTGATAAAGTTGCCTGCATGTTGCCATGTCATGATATTTGAATTTAGACACCTGCAAGTCAAGCAGATACGACACACATCCTAATAGTGACCTGGGCCTCTCCAGATCGGCATTTGGAGGTTGAGCAAGGTACCACAGCAGGTGTGAAGTGGCAGAACATTTCTGCAGGGTCTTCATCTGACCCTGGCAGTCTCTCTGTGACATAGTTCACCTTGCTGAAGCTCATAGCCCAGCAGTTACTGCAAGCGTGAGAAAGAACGAAACCACGGCAAGCGCCTCTAACCAACAGCCGGCAGACTGCTTTCAGAGAAACCAAAAGTGCCTTTGCTGGGTTACTTCTGGTGCAAAACTGTTTTCTGAGTCTCTGGGTTCAAATCATGGGAGCAGAGCAGGGGAGAAAAGACACCTTTGTTGTTCACAATGTCCAGGAGGCTCTGCTCTGATCAAGGAGATGACAAGGAACACTGTTTAGGCATTATCCAAAGGCTGCTATTTTGAAGTATTTCCCTGGTGTGAAAAAATGGCAATTTTTTTCCCTCCTTTTCTGCTCTCATCTTTTGCACCCAGTAGATAGTGCTCTCGGCCATCCACCGTTAGTCATACTAACAGAGCAACTGGCAGCTCTGCAGGCACCTCGCAGGCTGCAGAGGAAGAGAGGAATGAGAACAGGGATGCGGTGCTGGGCGAGAGCCAGGACATGGCACTGGAATCTCCTGCTTGCTCACAGGAGTCCTTGGGACTTCTCTTTCTGTGACAAGTAGGCACACTAGGTGAGATGGCTGTCTAAGAGGCAGCCTGGAAAGCCACTTTATTATTAGAAATGGTGCATTAGCCAGATTAGGTAAAGCCAAAATATCGCCATGCAAAATGGATCCAAGCAAGTGCCCTGCCATTCAGCTGCCACCAGCTCTGGTGGGAATCTTACTTCTAAACCTTCCTGTGGCCCCTGAATACTCTCTGAGTGCCCTCTCCTCACCTCCAGCTCCTGCCTCCTTCTACATGTCCCCATCCCAACCACAACAAGTTGCGGGAGGTCTTCAGCCTCATCAAGCTGGCCACCTGCATCACCAAGAGGACAAAGTTTAATGGG